TACTGACATAAATGAACATTTGCACGATATTCTAATTTTTCGAGTTTCACCTGTATATTGGTATGACAGTCTCTTGGGTTTTGTGTCCAATTAAGAAAAAAAAATCAGAAAGACTGGAACAAATGCAGATAAAGGCAGTGAGGATAATCAGGAGAATGTAAACTAAGTCATTGGGGAGAGTCTGAAACTGGTGGTTACCATTGAGAAAGATGAGTGTAGGGGATATGAGAGCACATTTCAAGTGTCTGAAAAAGCATCACACAGAAAAAGTTCTATACCTTTTTTAAAAGAGGTGGTGAGCTTCCCTTCGCTGATGGTGTTCAAATAAAGCCTGACCATCCATCTATTAAGGATGCTTTAATTTGGATTCCTGAACTGAGGAGGACTTTGGACTCAGTAACCTACATAATACCTTTTAATTCTGTGGTGCTTGTATAATACCATTCCTAATCCTACTTTTAGTAACAACTGTAGATTTAATATCTAGGTGGGCAAGGACGTCTCAACATTCGAATTTTTCTGGGAGCAGTACTAAAACTTTAGGATATTAAGATGAGTAATTAGAGCTGGAAATGGGAATTGAAGGATTAGATTATGTATGCCCTCTCTTGCTCCCTTGCTTCCATTTCAAACAGGCATGGAATGTGTCTTATAAATTCATTTAGGATTATTATGCTTATAAATTCCAAATTTCTATTTTACCTTAGATTCTAAGCATTCTTTATTTACTTGGGAATATTTAGATTAGCATGATTCAACTTTTGTACCAAGAATAAGCTGTACCATCCAAGGCATGCTTATTGCTTCTCACTGTTAAACTCCCTTCAGAAGGGAAGGGAATTAATTCTTTATCTATATTGCATACATGCATGGCTGCACCTTGGCTTGGATAACCATGCTGTATTTCCAAATTACATTACTCATATATTTATTAAATTGGATGCCTTGACCTTGATTGATTTTCTTTTCTGCAAAATTTAAATCGGAAGGAACCTGCACTATTTCAGCATTTGCAAAGGATTTTAGTGGTCCATAGTAACTCAATCTCTCTCATGAACTTATAGCAACTTTGGAAGCTGTGTATAGGAAAAGCTGATATGTTCTCTTCTTTTATGTTTAAAATGTGTTCTGTTTTTAAGGATATGGGAAGAGTTTGTGCTTTCAGTTTCCACCTGTGTACACTGGAGGTATTGGTCTAGTAATCTCCCCCCTTATTTCTTTGATGGAGGACCAAGTACTACAACTCAAGTAAGTATAATATGAGCACTTTCTAAGTAGGAAAGTGGGATTAAAATATAAATGAAACACCCCATGTTTGTTGTAGAGTCCTTAAGGGGGGTAGGCCAAGAAAGCAGCCCAGCAACACAAGTTTTTCTACACTCCTGCCCCTTTTAGTTTTATATAATTTTTAAATAGTATATTTTAGCTACTTTTTTTTTTAGTTTTAGTTAAAATAAGTATACTAGGTTACTGTAGATTTTAGTAGATTTTTATTGGACTTTAGACTATTTTAAATATACTCACAACTTTTTATGGTGAGATGATTATGGAGACAAAAGGTGCAAGGAAAAGTTTCTGAGTAGATCTGAACAATATGGGAAAAAGAAAGAAATGACATGGCATCAGTCCGGGCTCTCTCTCCTCATCAAAGCCTGCTAAACAACCAAAGATAGAAGACCATTTTATACAAAAGGAAATCTGTAAGTAAAACAAATTTCCCTCTCACCTCCAACAAATTTGCAGCCCTTGAATCACTTGAATGGGACTTTCAAACAAATGGTTTCAAGGTCTGGCTAAAGTTATGTCTGGGCTTTTGATCTCAGAGCCCCCTGCCTCACATGCATACTAGAATTTGCTCAGGTGATTCATATGAACAAGTAGTGTCACTGTATCAATCAATTATTGTTAATCTCCAAGTCCCCCTGACAAGATTTTCAACAGCTGATGGTCTAAATCTTGGTACGATGATGACTGCATTACAGCTAAAAAGGCTTTCTTAAATGCAATAACTTCCTTTCTCCAGGAAAATTCTTTGAGTGCTTCTAAATTACTTAAGATTAAAAAAAATTATAAATATCTTTTGAAGATAAAGAAATGACACGCTATAAGAGAGAATTGGAGGAATTTAATTTCAGCAACAAAACTTAAACTCCACTTGGTTCTGGCGTTTAATAAATCAGTCTCTTTACAGATAGATGCTTTGGTCCTATCACACAAATATCTGCAGATAAATGGGAGGATCACTTGTATAACATCTTTAAAAGGGAATCTGCTGTAATCTTAGATGTGATTCCCTCTTGTGGTGACCTCCCAGATTGGCCGCCAGTGTCCATAGCTGAGGTTAAAGATCTTATTGCCCAATTCAAACCAGGTAAAGCATCTGGAGGTGATTTTATCTCCTCAGTATTAATAAAAGAAAATAAAGATTGGTGGGCCCTGGTTTTGGCCACCTATTTCACACACACTAACAACACCGACAATTTCCATCTGATTGGAATCAGGCCATTGTTGTACTGTTATACAAAAATAAAGGAAATAGACTTGACCCTACAAATTATAAGCCCATTAGTTTATTAAACACAATAAATAAACTTTATGCCAGATTTTTATATCTAAAATTAGTGGAATGGGTACAAAATGAAAATATAATTGCTGAAGAACAGGCCAGATTTACAGAGGAACGATCAACATTAGATCATTGTTTGGTTCTCCCCCATTTGGCAGAAGAATATTCTGCACCCCCTTGTGGCTCCCTTCTTGCAACCATTGTTGATTTTAAGTCAGCTTTCGATCTAATACCAAGGGAGAGACTGTGGGACAGTCTGAGACTTTCCACTATTGACAAAAGGCTGCTTGTGCTTATTCAGTCATTGTATTCAGACACCTCCCTGAAATTTAGATGTACCACCTGGAGACATTTATCTAAAGCAGTCCCAACTTATAGCGGTGTAAGTCAAGGTTGCATATTAGCTCCTATTTTTTAATTTATATCTAAATCCAATAATTCAAATGCTTGTTGTTTCAGCCCATCATCCTACCCATTTTGCCTGATTGTGCCAGTACTACTGTATGCCATTGATGGTAGTTATTATGTCTACTTCACAGGCCAGAATGAGAAAATTGCTTAGGGCGCTAGCTTTATTTTGTATAGAACAAACACTATCAATAAATTATCAGGCAACCAAAGTCTTAGTTTTTGCCTGACACTGTCATAAAATTCACAAATGGCAAATAAATGGGACTCAAACCAAACAGGTGTACACCTATAAATATCTCAGAATGCAGTTCCATCCTTCCTTATCCTGCAATGCTCATTTTTTTTACTGGGGAAGTATTGTACAGCGTTAGTACTACTATAAGTATTATAAGATGTTACTATTCAAAAAGAGCACATTATATCTTTACAACTTGCAAGGTCTTTCAAGCTTGGTTTTCTTCTTGCAGACATTTCATTACCAGGCTACGTAACATCACTAATACTCTGACAAGAAATGAGATTTGGTGGCTGTTTGTATATAGCAGTTTGTCCTACCAGCCTTGCCTTTTATAGGTATTGTTTGCTCTTTGATTGTTCCTGCCAATATTCTGTCTGTTTGTCCTACATAGTGTCCCTACATTGTATGTTGTGAAAAACTCCTCTTTGTCTTCTTTGGTTACTGGGTCCTTGGGTTTGCCTAGGAAGCTTTGGAGTGATTTTGTAGGGTACAGTGATGCCAAAGTGTTATAGAATCTATTGGTGGATTCTGAGGTCTTTTGACATAGGGAAAATTAGAAGGACATATCCATGAATATCACTTAGCAATAAGAAGACATGATGAAAATTCTTTAATTTCATAACAAGCAAGCAAGTTCAGTCACAGAAACTATAAACAGTTTAGATCGAGTAAGTGCTAGAAGAAGCAGGATATAAAGAATTTGACTGTTTTGAACTTTTGTGTTGGAGAAGATTCCTGAGAATACCATGGATAGCCAAGAAAACAAACAAACAAAAAAGGATCATAGTTCTCACTTGAGGCGCAAATGACCAGGCTCAAATTATCATGTTTTGTCACATTATGCAAAAACCCAGGTCCCTTGAGAAGTTTCATAATGCTGGAAAAAGTAGGAGGAGAGAGAAAAAGAGGATGGCCAGCAGCAAGGTGGATTGGCTTAATTATAGCAGCAATTGGTGCGAACAATACCCACATAATACGAGGCTGGTAGGATAAATCACTATGTATCAACAGCCCCCAAACCTCACTTCATGCCATAGCTTTGATTATGTTATCTAGCCTGGTAATGAAATATCTGCAAGAAGAAGAGCAAGCTTAGAAAATACAATGAACCCAACATTTCAACCCTGAGAGACACACATTCTCTGCTACTGCAAAATTTGGAATGTAGAGATTCTGTTTAGGTGCTTATATAACATCCCATTTACCAGAAGCCAGACTGGTGAATTTGCTTCATGTCACTCCTTTTCATTCCCAAGGATCTTCTTATCTTGGCTTGCTTTCTGTGAGTAGACCTCAGACGAGTTATTGAGCCAAATTATTACAGTATTTAAAATAATTTTATAGAATACCTATGGGCTTACATGGGGCTGAGAGGCATTCTTGGAATTAGATTAGATGTTGGAATGCTAGAGATTAGATGTTTGCTTTGCAGCATGCATGCTTTCCATTTAGCATTTTTTAATTAAATTTGTAACAATTATAATCATGTGGAGCACAGAGCCTGGTAGTCATTGTGAGATACCATATTGCATATCCTTAAGATATACAGATCTGTGGAAAAGATTTATCTCACTAAAATGTCTGCATAACATATACAAAAAATGGTAAACAGCATGCTTTTCCTTTATGCATTGGGTCTTAATTATCTGAGGATATCTGCCTGTTGTGCTTTCCATGAGAGAAAGGAATGGAATGTAGAGAATAGAGGGATCATTTCTTGCTGTCTAGATCGCTATTTTGGCTTAAATGGGGAAGGACTGGATCAAAGATTGTAGAGAAACCATGAAAGTATTGTTGCATATTTCTGCCTCTTCTAATATGACTTAATTAAAAATGCACTGGAATGTATGTGTTTATGTGGTACTTTGCACATACTGTTTTCTCTAAAAACATAAGACTATTGTGTGGATTAGTATTTAGTTAAAGTAAATTGTAAAATAGCATAGGTTTTTCTCTGTTTTAGGTCCTTTCTTTTTTCTTCCTGGGAAATAAGAAATTTTAAGTTCTTGCCTAGGTTGTCAAAAGAAAAAAAATCACAAAACAGAGACTTAAGATGTTTTGGTGATAGATTTGAAGGAGGGGTGAAATCTCTTCTTAATTTAGCAAGTGGCTTTCAGTTTCTAAAAAACATGCTTTCATTATATTTAAAAAATTTTGCATGGTGTATGTGTTATCTATTTTTTGTAGTTTGAATTTGCCAGTCACCCATTCTGCTTCCAAATTCCTTTTCTGATGTAATTTCGAAAGTTTCATAGAAAATTTTAAGCTTATTTTGCTTCTGTTCTGAAATTCAACATTTCCAAAGCTGTGCAAGGTGATTCGGATGGGATGGGCAAAGGAAAGAATTGTTGTATTTAACATATAATGCAAAATCTAATTTTTTTTAGGAAAAGTTATACCTAAAAATAATGCAGTGTTCATAAAGTAAACTTTACTTTGATTTTTTCTTGCAGAATGTCAGGAGTTCCAGCTTGCCTGCTTGGATCAGCACAGTCAAAAAATATCAGAAAGGAAATCATAGCGTAAGCTTTATTCTAATCCTGTTTTTTAGCACTGAAAATACACCTTTCTCAATAAATATCATTATGTTATTGGAATGAATTATAGTGAATTCAGTCGGACTTATTGCAAGATCTCTACCATAATCAACACTTCAGCTGTACGTAATATGAATGTTAGTTTATTTTTACCAGAAGACAATGCTGTTTTCCTTTTCTTTACATAGGGGCCAGTATAGAGTTGTCTATTTAACTCCGGAATTCTGTTCAGGGAACCTCTTGTGGCTTCAGCAAATTGACAAAGCAATTGGTAAGTGCTGATAGTTGATGTAATGGCTATGCAAGGCCTTGAAAGTGTTCTTTGAGAGCCACTGGAATTCTGCTACAAATTCACATGTATGCTTGGAAGACTCTTCTGCCACCATTTTCACTGAAACATCCAGTTGAAGCAAAGTGATGGACCTCTGTGGTGGGATTGGAGGAGTCAAGGTAGAGCACTTCACTTTCTTGGGTTGAGGTGCTACCTTAAATAAAATCACTCCTTTGACTTAACTTGAGGGAGTTCCAGAAAGCAAAGCATCACACTTCACACAGGCTTAGTTAATAGCATGAAAATACTTCAAAAGAAGTTGTAATCTTTGGAATTGCTACAAGATTGAACAACTTGAAAGCCCAGTTAACTGTGTTTTGTTTTTATATATTTCTTTTAATAAATGTATTTATCTATTTATATATCTATACCTCAACAAGAACTCATGATGTTGCAAAATTCTGCTTGTCAGTGTGAAAAAATAGATGTATGTGTATGCAAGAACATCAGTCCTTCTTATGCTATTTATTCATTGCATGTTAGTGCATTGAATTCTGCAGTATGTATAAATTATGCAAGTTGGCACAATTTATTTCAGTGTGCACATTCTGTGAATCTTGTGGAAAAGCAAAGAATTGTTAAGGGCAAATAAATACCATCTCTTGACAATTTTCTCTTTAGGTTGTGGCTTCTGAGATTTCACAGGAATGTCTAGCATATTTTCACACAGTTTTAACTAAGGGCTCAAGAAAATTGCTTTTAAATAAAAAATGTACATTCTCATCAATTGTATACAGTACTGCAAATCATCTTTCTGCATTCCTGCAGAATTGTGGCAAAAACAAAACAATGTTGCAGAGGTGGGCTACTTGAGCCTGTTGGACTGCATGTATCTCTCAAACCTCTTCTTTTTTAGATTTTTTTTTATCCTGCCTTATTTTTTTATACATAACTCAAGGCAGTGAACATACCTTAATATTCCTTCCTCCTCCTATTTTCCCCACAACAACAACTCTGTGGGGCGAGTTGGGCTGAGAGAGAGTGACTGGCCCAAAGTCACCCATCCGGCTTCGTGCCTAAGGTGGGACTAGAACTCACAGTCGCCTGGTTTCTAGCCTGGTGCCTTGATCACTAGACCAAGCCCGCCCGCATCTACCTGCCTGCCTGCCTGTCTGCCTGCCTTCCGAACATCTTCCAAGTACATGGAAGAATTTTGGTGCTGAAAACCAGTGGCATTGTTTCTTACAATTTTTAGGCAGAAACACAATAAAACTATTGAGTGTTCCTCAGAATAGACTTAAAATATTTTTTAAAAACTCCCAAAATATTCTGTTTCCCACAATAGGAAAAACAACAAGTGGAAAATTCTGTGCATGATGTAGTCCTGCCCAGTATGAGTTAGTATCTATTATATCCCTTACCTTCTCCCCCAAAATTAAATGTGGCTTTATTTCACCAAAATGTGGCCCACTCCTGCATTATAGTTAAGATGTAAAATGTAATTAAGTTGGTTTATGCAATCCTAGATAGAACAATAAAATTATTTATGATCAAACTTTTATATTTGACAATGAAATATTAAGGCTGTATAAAAAAAACTGAAGAGAGTTTACTTTTTTGTGACTGTCCCTATTATTTAATCATAGAAGAATTCATATATTACTTTACTTCTGATAAGCATTCTCACAAATTTTACTCAGTTTTTCCAGATTACAGTCAGTACAATTTTGCCTTTTAACTGTATTGAATTCAGAAACAAGCCCCTGTGTTGTATGCTTTTTTAAAAATAGTTGTGATCAAAGATCTTCAAGAAGGATATTTATCGGAGATAATGCCCTATTTGTAGAAAAATAGATCATTTGCTTCAGTTCTTAAAGGTTCTACAGACAAACCTTTGCTCTAAATTCTGAAATAAAAGCAATTAAATTTTACAGGACTATTTTTATTTCTATTTAGGCATCACATTAATAGCGGTTGATGAAGCTCACTGTATTTCGGAGTGGGGACATGACTTCAGGGATTCTTTCAGGTCTTTGGGGTTGTTAAAGAAAACCTTTCCTAAGGTAAAAAATTATCACTGCAATTATTTATAGTGATTTTTTTCTGACACTATAAATGTTTATGTATGTGTGTTTACATATATGTGTGTGTGCGCGCATGCGCATGCAATGAGCTTTATAGTTTGCTTGGTTTTCAACAACAAATCCCTTATGATTTAAAGGATGGGTGGTCCATCAGACTGTTCTATCCTTGGTTAGGTGTCTTGCAGATGCCTTAGACTTGACTTGGCTAGATGTCGTGCAGATGCCTTACACTTCACTTCTCATAATTACTAGCCTTATTTTTGGTAAATAATCTTCTGTGCTGGAAAACAGTGAACAGTGAACTGTCTTCCTTTAAACTATATGGGAATCTGTGACTGAAGCTGTTAAGCCAAGAATAGACCATGGCTAAACACTGTGATTAAGGCTCAAAGTAATATCATGTGTACTTGGGTTCAGTTGAGGTTACAAGAGTATATATGAATATACTGTGTGTGTTCGTGGTACCTGAGTCAGCTGTTTGTGGTCAAGGCTTCCAGGAATGTGCATGCACACTAAATACTATATTCAGATCAAAGGCTTCTGATCATCTTCTATTCCTTAATTTTGTATTGTCATATAACATAATTAGTAAGTTCAGCTTTTTATTCTATCACTCTTACAGTTTTCTTCTTTTTTCAGGTTCCTATTGTTGCGTTGACTGCAACAGCAAGCCCTTCCATTAGAAAGGATATAATAGACTGTTTAAATTTAAGTACTCCTCACATTACTTGCACTAGTTTTGACCGGCCTAATCTATACCTAGAAGTTAGACGAAAATCTGGAAATATAATCCAGGATTTATTGCAGTTCCTTATTCAGAAAGACAAGTAAGTTGCCTTGACAATTTGTTCTTGTTTCCAAACATTTTCATGGAATAAATATTTTAAACATTTTTCAGATCCCTGTTTGTCTTACCTGAGGATTTGGGGACAATTATGATCTTTCAGCTAATAATGATCACTGCTATGTACCTCAGAAGATGTTCTTACAAGGACAGACCTGAAGGGGGAATATAGTGTATATGACCTTGAGGTGCTGGAGGAAAGGCAAGACAGAAATGCAATAAATCAATAAACAAAAGCTTAATTGTGGAGGCTGGGATGGAGCCTAGACATTAGAGTAGCAGCAGAAGATGGATTGGCAAACAGGCCTGCTATAAGCAACTGTTGTGTAAATACAGAGGTTGTTACTGATCATTGCAATCTTTCCAGTTTTAAAACATTGTTCTGGAGGCCAGATTGTGTAGTAAAGCTATTTATTCACTTCCTAAATTATATCTGGGCCCCACTTGAGCAAGGAGCTGTTTGTGTATCTGTTGGGGAAGACTGGTTAAAGCAGTGTGAAGACACCTAGAGCCAATCTAATGAGAGTTTTAAGTTTTTTCTGCAAGCCATTATTTCTGTGTTCTTGTCAGGATGGCGTTTAAATTGGGGGAGAAAATTCTATTGAAATATTAAGTAATGTTAAGTTCATATTAAGTAAGTTGAATATGTCAACTTAAGCTGTCAGAGAGAGAGAGGTATCAATGTTACATTATGTCATGCCTCTGTGTATGAGGTTTTACATAAACTGTACCCCTTCTGGAGGCAATTTTTTCCCTGTTTTTACACAATGTAAGACACCATACAGGATATACATTAAGTAAATTGGAATCTACAAAAATAAATTAGTATTTTTCCACTTACATATATACATATCCATATTGTTCCTGATCAAGGTAAGCAGTATTTTGATTGATTGATTGATTGATTGATTGATTATGTGCCATCAAGTCATTTTCGACTCCTAGCAACCACATATAGATTTTCTTCATGACGATCTATTCCTAACCTATTCTTTCACATCTCCCAATGGTGCAGTCATCACCACTGTAACTGAGTCCGCCCACCTTGCTGCTGGTTATCCTTTTCTTCTCTTTCCACTTTTCCCAGCATTAGAGCCTTTTCCAGAGGCTTGGATCTTTGCATAATGTGTCTGAAGTAGGATAATTTGAGCCTGGTCATTTGTGCCTCAAGTGAGAAGTCTGGATTGATCGATGATCCATTGGCTTGTTTTCTTGGTTGATATTCTCAGGAGTCTTCTCTAAAACACTAAAATTAAAAGGCATCAGTACTCTTTCTATCCTGTTTCTTTAAAATCCAATTTTTATTTCCATGGAGTGTCACAGGGAATACCATGGCTTGTATGATTCTGATCTTTGTAGGTATAGACACATCAGCATTTGAATATCTTTTCCAAAGTCTTCATGGCTGCTGTACCAAGTACTAGTCTACAGTGTATTTCTTGACTGCTTGTTCCTTTACTGTTCATGGTTGATTCTAAAAGGCAGAAATTATCCACCACTTTGATATCTTCACTGTTAATTCTAAGGCTAGTTGTTCTACCTGTTGTCTTTAGTTTGGTCTTCTTTATATTTAATTTTGGTCCAATTTTTTCGCTGTTCTCTTTGATTTTAGTACTAGGGCTTGCAGATTCTTTGCATTTTCAGCTATCAGGATAATGTCATCAGCATAGTGCAGGTTATTGAGGTTTCTTTAAAACCACACTCATTTTCTTCTAATCTGGCTTCCTTTAATATATATTCTGCATATAGGTTGAATAAGTAAGGGGAGAGTATGCAGCCTTGCTGCATGCCTTTGGCAACCTGGAGCCAGTCTGTTTAAACATGGTCTGTCCATACTGTGGCTTCCTTTTTTTAAAATAGTTTTTATTAAAGCTTTTAAACAAGAAGATAAAAACTAACACAAACTAATATAAAGTAGGGAAGAAAAAGGAAAAAGGAAGAAATAAAAGAAAAAGCAAAAAAGTGCAAGAAAAGAAAAAAAGTTGAAAAAAAGAAAGAAAAAAGATATACAGAAGTGGCTTCTGATATTTTTCACAGCAGGTATAAGTACAAATATATTTTAACCCCTCTCTCTAACTTTACATCATATTACTCTTCTTTCTATAATCTATCCTGTCTAATCGTCAAAACCATAAATCACAAGTTCATTTTTTCCATTTTTACGCAAAAAGTCCATAAGAGGTTTCCAGTCACCAATAAATGTAGATAGTGGCTTTTCTCTAATCAAAGAAGTCAGTTTATCCATTTCAGCAAAATCTGTCAACTTCAACATAGTGGGTAGTGTCGAATCCTTCCATCTCTGTGCATATAGTAATCTTGCCACAGTAATCACATACAGGTAGTCCCCAGTTTGAGAGTTCTGTTCCCAAGTCCTGTCCGTACATCAGATTTGTATGTAAGCTGGAACAGTATTATTGTATAATACTGTATAAGTAGTATTGTGTAATAAACTTGAACCATTGTGTCTTTAACTCAAATCATTGTGTATTTAATTTGAATTTTGCTACAGTAGGCTCCATTCTTAAT